GGGGAACATGGTTGGCCACACCTTGTCACAAATCCTCTGATACACTACTTTTGATAATTCCCACTTTCGAACTGCGGACTTGGCATAATCAAGGACATTTCGCTGGTATAGTAATCAGCATCATCAATGAGTCTTGTCATTCTTAGAACCAAGTGACAACTCGTCAAAGACTCGACACCACGACCAAGTTGTGGAAACAAGTTCGGGCCACTTCCATGTGTCTTAATATGCTATCGATTTTATAATTTACATTTTATTTTAATGCTGTCATTTATAGGTGGTGAGGCTTGATACATTGCTCCGTTTTCTCGTCTAGTATTCCCTTATATAAATGCCTGAGACGGAATTTCGCCATACTATTTATCCTTCTTTAGTTTTACCTTTTTTATGTCGATTTTACTTTTATTTTTTAGGACCTGCTTCAGAATTTCCCTCGTAACCTCTTTCAATATGGTGTGCTTGATGCGGCTGAGGTGCTGGTAGATAAGGTTACCCTAACTTCGACGCGTAAAGTCAATCACGATTATGTGCGCGAAAAGACCGAGATGTTAGCAATCTTGTTGCAGGGCGCCCTGCTTCTTTTGCAGCGAGATGGCGATCGCTTTGTTTTGCGTAGCTTGAAGACGAACCGAGAACAGGGGCAGATTTCTGAACCACTTCTACCATCAACATTGTCCCCATCGATTTCTCCTCCATATCTATCAGTCGTAGCATGCGCTGCTAACCTACCCAATGTAATAACGACGGTTACCCAAGCTTCCTCCTCAACACCTATCCCTAACAACAATACGACTACGGGCTTACAGGGTGTAGGATTAGCTTCTTTTCAGATTGCCTGTAACAATTCTACTGGAGACTTTTATACTAGCAATAATAATCCAGACAATAGAAATCCAGCCGGGAATAACTGTTTGCTATCGACTGTATCAGCTGTTCAGTCATCTGGAACTGTTACTTCGCCAATAGCTCCATCTGGGTATGGGCTTTGTTCACTCATTTATTAACACTTTTACTATAACGTGAGATTTGAGTTAAGGAAAGGCAAGCAGAATTCATAATAAACAAGGCTAAGCGGTTCAATATAAACGGGAATTAGCCGTCAGATTCTGATGAGATCTACATATGACTCACTTTTTTTATACAAAGAGTAACTGGATTTAGGTGAATCTTCTAAAATAAAATTGTTGGGGGGAATTTTATTTCGTATGAAAGTGTACGAAGAAGAGATTCGTGGGTCGATCTCACCAGAAGAGAGTGGCTGAATCCTGTTGAACTTCATCGGCTTCGATTTTATACGACGTTCATGTTGACGCAATCCTCGAGACATTCTCCATTGTTTCTAGTGAAAACGGGCTGAGCTTTCGTGTATCATGTGTTGGACATTATCATAACTAAAACTCGTTCTTATCAAAGTCTCAAGTTAGCACTAGGGCAAGAAGACTATCCGGCTCTATCTTACCTCCTATATAGAATCAATTAAGCAAAATAAAATTAAAAAGCCTAGATAGATATAGAATGGTTTGGCTATTTATCTTTCATATTCGTTATGCTTCTTGTACTCGAGTGTCAATGTGTGTGATTGTAAGTCTTGACGTCAATAAGGAATACCGGTCCTAAATAAGTTTTCAAAACAGTATTATCAGGCTCTTGCCATCAAGGCTTAATGACCAAGGAGAAAGCCCTGACCGAGACTGCGTAAGTCCGTAAGCAAGTATGGTTCAGATAATGAGGTGTAAGCTTGTAAGTATGCAAGTCAAGTTACGAAACAATTTGTCCCAACCTCTCAATCTAGGGTCATTAACATTGTATGAAATTAAATTGGCTGCAGTACAACGGGATTCGGCCGCTCTCTTTTGGTGAGATCGACCTACGAATCTCTTCTTCATACACTTTCATACGAAATAAAGTTCCCCCCAACAATGGTATCTCAGGAGATTCATCTAAACTCAGTTATTATTTGTATCGATATTGGATACGTAAATATTATATGTAAATCTCATCAGAATCTGATGGCTGATTTCCGTTTATATTGAACCGCTTAGCTTTATTTAATACCGTGATTAAGCTAATTCCATCCACGCGATTATCTCCTCATTTAGGCTTTAAGTGGTTTACAAGTCTTATATATTTATTGAACTAGTTGATCAGCAGACAATACCGGAGGAGGACATATTATTATCTATGTACATAAATATTCCAATTCAGGGAATCATTCAAGCTCTACTGCTCCCTCCTAAGGAGAATAAGGAGATTATGATGGATATCACCAGAGGCCACAACATCTTGGTCTTCATATATTCAATTAAGTATATAGACTTTTTATCTTATTCATATATAGTATTTATTTAACCTTTGATATCAAGTTCTATGAACAAACCTACGGGTCTGCAATGAGTTTTTGTTCATCTATTTTGGCGAACGCTTAATGTTAGAGGTAATTTTCACTCTCAAATTATTTTGGGATTGCACTTTTAAACCCTCCTAGTCAACATATGTGCCTCTCCGGGATTCAAGCTCTGTTTAAAATAAACTCTTTACCCTCTAAGTCGCAAGACTGAAGGTAACATTAGCCTCCCTTATCTCATGTTGTGTGGGGAATTTTATACCGTTAGACAACTGTGTGTTTCCTATTAAACATGATGGGCTATTTAGTTTATCATTGATAACACTTTTGTTTAGCGGTCTTGAGAGACCCAATTGCTAATATGTAACTGATCTTGTTTTCGCAACTTGGTCATATTGGCAGGAAGATCTAGATGAACGCACCTTGTCCTTAGTCCATAGTATGCATGATAGTTTCCAGAGACGGACCGTGGACTTGGTACATTTCCAGGTGTTTCACCGGCATCGTAGATAGCCTGGTTAGTGAGTTTTGTCATTCTTAACACCACACTACATCTCGTCAAAGATACAAGTGAAGTCGATCCTTTGACCAATTGTGTGCTAAACAGTTATGGTATCTCTCCTTCTGTCCATGGCCATTCACTTATCCAATATCCTCGTATCAGATCTTCAATATCACGATTTCTTACTTGTTTAGAGACATATTCACACTTCCCGCTGGTTTCCACATCCCCCCCACTTTGCAGGGAGTGTTGATCCAATGCTGTGTTTTAATCTGCCATCATCTCCCTTTGGGTCCTATAGAATTTCCTTCTGCTCCATAGTATCCTTTCCTTATCTGAGCGTTTCAGTGATTTTACGCCATCGCTGCCACCGTATGTCCTACTCAAGGCGCTATGTTCTACACTCTGCCTCAAGACTTTGATAGCACGTATACACCAGCCTCACCGAACAAGCCCCCAAAGTTTGGATTCATAATGGTATGACAACATAATTTGATGCTTATCCTTGTCCGGCATGTTTTCGCTAATCCTGCTTTGTTCAAGTTTTCTGTTCATTAGGGTACTTTCAGTAAGGATATCAATGGTTTCTCGTAACTTACGTTTTGTATTTCCACAATATGCAGTCAGCCTCTTTGTCGATTTACATTCGATTTCGTGTCCCGTTTGTGCGATGTGTTCCACTATTTCGAATATTTCAGTGCCCATGTTTCTGCAAAGTCTTTGCTGTTCCTTCATTCGTAGGCTAAATTTTCTTCCTACTTCATCAATCTACTTCTGCTCACAGTTGCCGAATTTGATGCTATAAACTCCTGTTTGTCAAACTTCCCATGTTGCGTCAGCAGGTTTGTGAAGGGTGTTGTCTTTTCTTTTGTCATCACATTGATTTTACATCTCAGTAGCAGTCACGATTTCTGGCTCACTTCACAGGAAGACAGGCCTATCCATTTTTTATTTCCCTCCCGGTTTCTGATCTAATTTCTTATAATCTTAGTTGAAATCTGCTCTTTATGGCCCCTATATATCTTTCTATATATTCTCTAGGTACCCATTACTCATGAAAATCCGAATCATTTTCTCCAATTCCTGGTTCCAGAGCACAGTGTCCGTTAGTCTTAAGCTTCTGGTGATCATACTCCTTATTATTCCTATCTTCAGCCTGTAGTTGTAATAAGACTGGAAATGAAGGATTATTCCCGCATATGATTTCTTTCTGAATAATCTCCTTTTGAATATTCCGTTGGAGCAAATGACCTCAATATCCAGAAAGGGTAGTCGTTTATCCTCCTCCACCTCCATTGTGAATTTAATTTTTTAATTAAGTTGGCTTATATAGTTGAGGAATTCATCCAAATTTTTCTTACCATACGACCAAAGTGCAAAGTAGTCATCCAAGTATCGCATAAGCACTCTTGATTGCGTGGTGACTTCTCGGATTCCATTTCCAACTTGTTCATGTAAACATTTGCCAAAAGAGGTGAGAGTGGAGATCCCATCGGTAGTCCAAATATTTGCTCGTAGATACTGCCGTTAAATTTAAAACATGTGGTCCTTACAGTCAGGTTGATCAGTCGTACTAACGATTCCTTCCGTATCCTTTCTGCTTCCAGGATATCCCCTTCTCGTTTGTGTACATGGATTGTACATCGAAACTCACCAGCAGTTCCGTCCCTACCAGCCCAATGTTCTGGATCCTTTGAGAAAATTCATATGAATTCTTAAGAGTATTCGAGAGTGTCATTTAATTTCTTCAGCTTCCAGCAAATGAATTTCGCTAGTTTGTGTCTTGCTCCATGCTTGTTGTTGACTGTTAATCATAGCGGTTTTCCTTCCTTGTGTATCTTCGGTAGTCCATAGGCTGTCCGGTGTCTTGCGTCGTTTTTGATCAAAGATTTCTTCATCTATCTGTCAATTTCCTCATTTTCATGCATTTCATTTGCCATATTCTTCAGCGTCTCATTGATCTTCATAGTTTGATCCTTCCTTAGTATTTTATAAGTGTTCAGGTCGCCTAGGATAGTTTCCATTTTCTCCATGTACTGTTTCCTGTCCATTACAACCGTCGCTCCTCCCTTATCCGCCTGAAAAACTATTTGATTATTGTTTTGTAATTTTTGCCGTATATCAGCCAATTTGCTCCTGTGTATCGGTTCTTGATGTGTCCGGATCCGTGGGATTATTTCCAGTTCCATCTTCCATTTGGCCTCTTCTTAAAATTTCTCTGAGTTGTTGATAACTTCTACAAGGATATATTCTAAACGTTTCCTTCGTTACCGATTGAAAAATTTAATCCTTTCTTTAGGATATCCACCGTTTCGGAATTAAGAGGGATTGAGGCAGGTTTATTACCTTATCTCTGTCGTCGGCTGTAGCAGTTGATGCCTTCAATAGAGAAACATCAAAATTTGCCTGGGTTGGATTGATAATGCGCTGTCTTACTATCCCATATCTAAGTAATTTTTGTTATGCCGCTCATTTATTAAATTCCGGACCCTCTGTTATTTCTGGTCAGTCATACTCTAAAGTTTTTCATAATCCTTCTGAGTGAGCACCTTGCCTAGATCCTTCCTTGATCCAGACTTGATATCTATTAACTTAAATAGCTTACACCGCTTGGTCCCGCTTGGTCTTGTTAGTGTTGACATGAACATTGCTTTGAATATTGTACTAAAATTCCAAAGCAAAACTCATAACGCTTGTTAATGAGTTTATTTCCTTTAAGTAATTTAATCTCCACAAAGTTCGCAGCATGTTTTATATATTA